ACCCACACCCACACCGACACCGACACCGACACCCACATCCACACCCACACCCACACCCACACCCACACCCACACCCACACCCACACCCACACCCACACCCACACCCACACCCACACCCACACCCCAGTATGCACCTTTATTAAACTTTATCAATTCCATAGTAGCATGTTTTCTATAGTTTCATATTATTTTGTAATTGAATCGAATAAAAGATAAATATTATGTCTAATGTCAAGTCCATAATATATTATATAATCAAACAATTGTTCGTAATCATTTTCCATTCATAATTGCGCTCTAATCTTTGTGGGTTTTCTCAATCACATAGTCTCTGACCTCCTTTGATGACCACCTCAAACCTGGAGGATCAAAATACCTTACTCGATTGTGCTTTAAATTACCAGTTGGACACCAGGGATTCTTGCTAGGTTTTCCTTTTGTATGAAGCAGTTTGTTTTCTTCCCTCTTTTTCTCCTCTGCCATTCTCTTTTCTTCCCTTCTCTTTTCTTCCTCTTGCCTTTTTTTCTTTTTTTCTTCCTGTTGCTCTTCTAGGGTTTTTCCTTTTCTTTGCCCATAGTTAAATCCAGTCGGTTTCCATGGCCCATCTTTCGACTGGACGCCGATAGTCGATCGAATACTTTGGCAAAGCGACAGCGGCGGAACCTTTTGCAAGCAGAATTTTTTTTTGTTCTTTTCGTCTAAATCTTCCAACACTTGCAAAACTTCTTCGACTGAGTTTTGATTTCCTGATTGAGTTTTTCCAGTAGAGGATTTCTTTTCATTACGGTTGGATGATAAGGCTTTACTTTTTCTTTCGGATTTTTCAGCGGTTGATGTAGTTGTATGAGTCAGAGGCTTTTGTTTATTGCCATCCACCGATGAGTGTTTACTTTTTTCGTTGGATTCTTTGACTAACTGCTTAGTATTTTGAGTATTAGATTGCTGCTCATCAGACTCTTTCGATACATCACCACTTTTTATTTCGGTTTTTTTAGCTGCTGATGTAGTACTGTGAGTACGCGACTTCCGTTCATTAGGGTTTGCTGAAGAATCCCCGGTACTGCCGGGAAGCTCCACGCCAGATTGCTCAGTGCTATTCGCATAAGTATCGTCAGACATATCTAAAACAACTGTAAGATCGGTTTTTGGTAGTCGAGAATCTTTAAAGAAAAAACACAATAATGGTTGACAGTTAAAAGAGTATTACTGTAATTGACATGTTAACACTGTTTTCTTTGCGCTTTTCAAGCACAAAATAATACAGCAAAAATGTTGTGATTAGCAAGTCAATTTAGGATAGGTCTGTGAATTATGACAAAAACCGATACTCACATTCCTAAAAGTTGAATCTGTGCTACGATTAACAATGATTTAGAGGAGCTTTTAAAGAAGTCAACGAACAATATTCAAGTCCCTCTGTAAAAGTATATAGCCAACGCAGAAGCGCATGCTGAAGTTTGAGGCAGCATTATTTACAACTATGTGCGATAGTTCAAAACACAAAAAAATGTTCGAATATTGATGTTCGTATAAAAGAAAAAACAAAGATCAAATATACAATACTAAACTCTTACTTCCTTTGACTTTCGATGATTTAACATCATTCAGAAAATGTACGACGCAGTTGGATATAGCGACGCTATTTATTACCAAGTCAAATTGATGATGAATTTCGTTCGCCTCTTATCAGATGGTGAATATATATATATATATGTTAAATGATAGAAAGGAGTATATGTAAATATGCAATACTAAATTTTTATTTTCTTTGACTTTCGATGATTTAACATCATTCAGAAAAATAAATGATAGGCTTTGTTCAGGAATCGAACTCATAATATGATAACTGGTTATCCATAGCAGTGCTCTAACCATTGAGCTATTGAAGCACAAATAACATGTCATTCGTTTTTCTGAATGATGTTAACCATCGAAAGTCAAAGAAAGTAAAAATTTTGGTATTGTATATTTACATATACTCCTTTCTATCATTTAACATATATATATATTCACCCTCTGATAAGAGGAGAATAAAGTTCACCATCAATTTTACTTGGTAATAAATGGCGTTGTACACATCATGTCGACGTTAAAATTTTGATGATTTAACATCATTCAGAAAAATAAATGACATGTTATTTGTGCTTCAATAGCTCAATGATTAGAGCACTGCTATGGATAACCAGTTATCATATCATGGGTTCGATTCCTGAACAAAGCATATCATTTATTTTTCTGAATGATGTTAAATCATCGAAAGTCAAAGGAGTAAAAATTTAGTATTGTATATTTACATATACTTCTTTCTCTCCTTTAACATTAATAAACAATGATCAAGAGTCAGGTGCTATGTGTTAAGTATTCGTCATTTGAAATTTGTGTTTGATCTTACACAATCAACCATTTTACACTCACTCTCCTACAAGACAAGATTCGCCGAAATATGCTTGAAATTCAGAAAAAAAATTACAGAATATTTTTGCGTATCACAGAAAGAAAAATGAATTTTAAATGGAGAACTACTCTACAGACCATCTGTATACAATTATAAAACTCAAAGATTTATACACTATCATTGAGTTTTCACTGTCTATAAGTCAATAATATGTAGCGCGATGTATTGTATCGTCCTTACAAACCATGATTAAGGAGTTCAAAGCTTTCTGCCTGTATTCTCTAGACACTTTTGTGATTCAAAAACGTTTCTCTTCATATTGAAATATATTTCTCAGTTCCGAAGAGTGTTTTCGATCAAATGAAGAAATGCGTGACAGTGCAGAGACTTTTCTTTAGTCATCTACATTGTTAAGTATCTCTTATCTTTCTGAATGATCCAAAAATGCTTTTAACGAATCGATAAATTTTGTCTCCTGCCATTTTTGAAGTGTTATTCTAAGTTATAAAGCTTGTTTCTGTACTATGACTGAATAAGATTTAAGCAGAACAGTACTTATTTCGATGTGTGTGCACGACTGCGTAGATGAAAGATGTCCTTCGTATTCTAGATTTAACCCTAATTTCGAGCATATGGCTCTTATCATTTTCAAAATATAAGATACCTTAGTATTTTTTGAATAACTTTTGACCAGAGCATGATAGAGAGCTGCGGCTGGTATCATTGGGAAGACCCGCTTTGGGACTATCGATACACATGAAAACCATTTATTTCCAAAACCTTTTTACTGGTTTTCTAGAGATTCGGATTTTCAGAAAACGAGAATTTTTTAGGTTTCCCATTAATTTTTTAAAACGTTTATATCAGCAGATATCCCAAGCTCTACTCTATCGAATGAGACCAACCCGATTTCTCTGTAGTTTTCTGTTCAAGAATTAGGCCGCCTGCAATGAAGCTCACCGCAACAGGGTTTTTCACTTACTCTACATAATCTTTTCAATGAAACATGGCGATACTCACTAAAATTATTATCTTTGACAATGCTGAATATTATAGCGAACTCTCCAACTATTCCTTTCTGCTCAATAATGATAAGGAGTGAGGGTGTGGGTGTGGGTGTGGGTGTGGGTGCCCAGGCCCACTATTCCGATCACCGGAACCGATTGTTTTCTTTGTTTTCCGGCAACGGATCCTATAGATGCCGTTGTTTTTCAGTCGGCTTCATTGGCTTCCGACGTACCGAGCTTGGCCTGGGTGTGGGTGTGGATGGAGTAGTTTGGCCTTCATTCATACACCCACACCCACATCCACACAATTTTAGTGAGTATGATCATTTTTCATTGAAAAGATTATGCAGAGTAAGTGAAAAACCATGTTGCGGTGAGCTTCATTGCAGACAGTCTAATTCTTGAACAGAAAATCACAGAGAAGTCGGGTTGGTCTCCTTCGATAGAGTAGAGCTTGGGATATCTGCTGATATAAAAGTAAAAAAAAACTAATGGGAATCCTAAAAAATTCTGGTTTTCTGAAAATCCGAATCTCTAGAAAACCAGTAAAAAGGTTTTAGAAATAAATGGTTTTCATGTGTATCGATAGTCCCAAAGCGGGTCTTTCCAATGATACCAGCCGCAGCTCTCTATTATGCTCTGGTCAAAAGTTATTCAAAAAATACTAAGGTATCTTATATTTTGAAATCGATAATAGTTATTTGAAAAGGTAAGCCAACCAGAAAAATAATTGAAAAAACATATTTCAGCATGATCAGAAAAAGAGAATGTAGTCATGAATTTTCATTCTTATATTATTTCAATTCTTTTTCAACAACATGATCACATTTATGCTACCTATGCAGGATTTGCATAACGTTAACTTCATTACCATAAAACTTACGCTAATGATTTATTTACCTGAGTCAAGCCGTTTCAACTCAAATCATGATACAATCTCTAATGCTAGATGCTCGGTGTTTTGGTTGATATCATGTGCGTCAGAACAACTAAAATATCGCTTGCTTTCTGTTGTTGAATAAATAGTTTGATGCTTCTGAAGGACGACACAATTTTATACTTACCTTATCTTTCTCTATAGACTTCACTGAGAAGACTACTTTTATCAATGTTAAAACATTCAAACTGAGAGACTTAATATAAATGTTCTCAAAGAAAAAGGTGATTCCTAATGGAAATGGACAGCGGAGAAGGACACCAGAAGCAAATAATATGAATTAAGTGCATACCATTAGGGTCGGCAGTTGTTGCTGCCAAATACCCTTGCACAATTTTCTAATTAAGAATGTGGGTGCGGACGAGATTTTGTATATAGGCACCTATAAATCATTTTCATCAACACCCCATCTCACTCTACTATCACTCCACATTACCGCCCCTATTATTAATTTTGTTTGAAGAAAAAGAAATTCTGACTGGTAATTTTGGAGTTTTGAACATCTCATATCTCTGCGTCTATTTAACAACTGAATTGTGTGAATTATACTCACATTAGGACGTTCAGGAGGCTTGAAAATATAGAGATATGCATAGATTCTTATTCAACTTTTGATGTAAAAGCCATTGAACGCTCCCCTTCAACAGAAAAAAGACAGCAAAGAAGCGTGACACCCATACCCTAAAATAAAGCAGGTAGCAAAAAACATCAAGAAAAGTAAAATAGAGAAACGAATGATATTGCTTAAGATAACAGTTTATGGCGCAGAGAATGGCAAAAAATAGTTGTAGAAATAAGTAGCATTTTTGTTATCAGTTTTTTTGTGAGTGATGAGATACGAAAAATCAGTAACATAGGCACTATAATCATCATTATGAGTAAGACAGGTGAAGCCTATCTTTCAAAATTTGGGTTCTTTTAAAATTCAAAATCAAAACTTGTCCGGCTAATCGTCAACTAGCATGATTAAATTTGAGCACTGAAAATCTAAAACATAAAACAACCTATCGCATTCAATTAAAGTTTTCAACTAGGTTTTCGTATATTCTGCGTCGATCTATCTAACTTGTTTTTGAAAATTACTAGAAGAAACGGTAGTTGCCAGCCAAGGTGAAGCATTTTCGTGCAAAAAAGGCCTGACAACGCACTTTTGTCCCTTATCGTTTTTTGGACACTATCTTATCTCTGAAAATATTGAAAGCATTTATTGTCTAATTGAACCTCAAGCTACAGCTTGGCATCAGTAGATTATCTTCTATTGTTTTCAGGGTTGTGAAAATATCTTTTTTAGAAAACCTTGGAAACTAAAGTGAGTGCGTTACCACAGTATTTTTGATATAGCTTTTCAGCAACACAATATTTTTGAAAAAGCCTATTTCAGTAGATAGCCCTAGCCCTTCTCTACAAACTGGCTCTCAGCCGCATGCCTTTATAACCTAAGCATTCGTGAGCAATTCACCATTTCTGGCATCACGGGAACAAAGAGGGCCCATTGGATGAGTGCGTTACCGGCATGTATTTTTCTTATAAAACCTGCACTATTAAGTCAATTGAGGTAAAACTTTTAGGCATTGAACAACTTAACAAGATGTTTCTGTCCACAATGGTGTGGGTGTTGGGTTCCCTTTGTTCACACGCAGTCCCTACATCAACAGACTACCCCACACCTACACCCCACCCCACACCCACATCCACACCCTCAAGGGCATCGAGCAAACGAACCATGTTGATTAAGTCAAAACGAGCTTGGAGATGTGTCGAGTAATTCATCAACTTGTTC